ACCGGTTATTAATAAATTAACTAGTCTGAGCATGGGCATTAGAGGCAGCCATGTGTTTGGATACACAAGGGTTTGGATAAAAGAGGTACGGATAATCGAGGACGTACTGTATCAGCAATTTCTCCACACATATCTGCCATCATTTTACATATTAATGACACTATACTTGTATGTTTGCATATGCATGTACATGTATATTATCTCATAGAGGATCTGTGTTACTGAGATGATACTAAGAAGAGATTCAGGAAGCTTTTTTTAACGACTCCATTGAACCGTGTGTCAGCCAATGTGGCTTATTTCCTCAACTGTTTACTAGTAAGATATGCAGTACACTAACAATACATTTGTACATAATGTACATGTAACTTTAATTTTGTCATTATTTGACTTTGCTCTTTTTTATTTTTTAGACTGATACTGAAGAGATTGTTTCTGATGAAGTATGTACTGTACAGTACAATTGTCTCCTACTCTCCTGTTGTATCATTGGTCCTCTCTCTCTCTCTCTCCCTCTCAGGTTGCTGCAACAAAAAAGAAGTCCAAGAAGAAGAAAGGAGGAGGAAGTGGTGGTGGTGGTGCTAGTGGTCCAGTCACTAAAACTACATCTGCCGGAAAAGGTATTGTGCTATATCTTTTACAGCATGTGTGACATGCAGAGCATAATGTGCATTCACTCTACATGTATATGAACATGTAATGACTGTATTATGTTACTATTAATGTATGGAGCCATTGCAGTGCATTTATTATGATCAAAGGCCATATGCAGTGTATGTTTACTTTACCTTTTACTTTGTACAATAGCTGCAATTCATAATATGCAACTTGTACATGTACAGTACGTTGATGATATATTTTGTTTAGACTTGTCTCAAGAAAAGTTATGGAAACTGTTAGTGGAAGATGTACTTCAGCATTTCCTGTACACATTGGAATAGTAAGCTAATAATAACGGAATAAACAATATTTAATGATGTACATGTACTTAAATGTCTATCTCTTTCTCTAGTAATTCTGTAACTCACATGTGTACTACTTGTGGTGTTAGCAAAGTCTCTCTTCTCAGGGAATTCTGTAACAAAACAGGTTAGATGGCATCATACCTTATTAATATTCATTGACCGCACCCCTTATCAGGAGTACAGATTACATTGAAGGATTACAAATTTTCCTTGACTGCTCCATTCAACGAAGGTGATTGTGCCTGTATTGTACCTGTTGTTAAGCACACTGATTTTAAAGTGAGACAAAACTTCATTTATTACTGCTTTGTACTGTCACTTTTGCTACACAATATATACCGTAGTTTAGGGAATTTATGTGGTAGAAACTTTTGTGTTTTTAAATGATGCTGTTATTTAATTTTACCAAATAAGACTGTGTCATGTATTATTGAATGTGGCATATAATTATGTACGTGATCTAATTTTTTTGGAATTCTAATCCAGTGAAATTAAAATCACAGTGAAAAATTTTCAGATCGATGGTATATTATGTCTTTTACATGTATGTGTACTTCAATCTTCAACAATTTTATT